CGAAGACGCGGAGCAGGAGCCTGGACACTTCGAAGAGGAGCCCGACGCCAAGCCAGAGCCTATCGAGCCAGAGGTAGCGGGGGAGACAAGACCCGTAGAGGCGGATGAGCCTATCAAAGCACCAAGGGAGGTGGTAGCGCTGCGTAGATCCACGAGGGCCACCGCGCCGAGTCAAAAGCTACGTGAGTCCCACGAGTCCGACGAACGCGAGCAGACAGCACACAGCAGGGGAGAAGCATGGGCGGTTGACGATGATGCGCCCGTCCCTCGTAACCCGAGTCCAGAGGGCGCTTACCTGGCAATGTTTACGGAGGCGACACCTGTAGGGAGAGATGGGGACGTATGTTGGTACCGCGGGGGAAAGACGCCGGAGACCTACAAGGAGGCATGTCAGCAGCCAGACATTTGGACGCCCTCGATGGACAGCGAGATCAACGGGCTGAAAAAGATCAACGCCTGGGAACTCGTACTGCGCACACCGGACATGAATGTTATAGGTAACAAATGGGTCTACGCCCGGAAGTTCAACGGTGATGAGGAGTCCGACGGGAAGTGGAAGCCGAAGGCGCGACTTGTGGCGAAAGGATTCCAGCAGATCCCCGGAGTCGACTATTTCGAGACCCACGCCTCTGTCGTGTGGTTCGAGTCCTTACGCCTGGTGTGTGCGACAGCTGTCGTACACGACATGGAGATGGCGCAAGACAATGTCGAGAAGGCGTACCTCAATGCATCCCCGGAGGAGACCATCTACATGGAGCAGCCAGCCGGCTATGTTTCGAAGGAGTTCCCGACACACGTGTGCAGGATGGTACGAGGGCTGTATGGGTGCATGCAGGCTGGAAATGACTGGTGGAAACATCTCGACGAGACGTACCAGGACCTAGGTTTTTCGCGATCGGGATCGGACAAATGCGTGCGAGCAAGGTTCAACAAAGATGGGCTGGCAATCACCGCAACGTACACGGACGATATTGGGGAAGCGGCGGACTCACCTGGTGGGCTGGCGACTGTTCGATCCGAACTCGCTGTGCGGTACCGGCTCAGCGGGGGAGGTGAGCTGAAATACATGTTAGGAGTCTTGATCGAGCGGGACCGGGCGCAAAAGACAATGTGTCTATCCCAGCGCACATACGCGGAACACGTGCTCGACCGGTTCGGGATGAAGAATTCAAACCCAGTCAGGGCGCCGCTCGAGCCTGGCTGCAAGCTGTCGAAGGAGGCTGAGCCGGCAACCGCTGAGCAGCGTGAGGAGATGGAGAAGATACCTTACCGCGAGGCGCTTGGTGTGGTCATGTACCTCGCTGTTGCAACACGTCCCGATCTCGCCTACCCAGTCCAGCTCCTTAGCCGCTTCATGGCGAACCCATCGTACGAACACTGGCGCGCGCTCAAGCGTGTCCTTCGCTACATCAAGGGGACTCTAGACTACGGCATAGCCTACGACGGGAATCACTCAGCGGGACTCCAACCCACGGTCTACTCGGACGCGTCGCATGGCGACTGTGCTGACACTGGACGGTCGACGCATGGGCACGTCGTCATGATGGCAGGCGGGCCAGTCTCGTGGAGTTCACGGAGGCAAGCCGTGGTAACGTTGTCGACCACTGAAGCTGAGCACATCGCCGCAGTTCACGCAGGGCAGACAGGGGTCTAGATCGCGAACTTCATGGACGAAATCTACGTGCCGATCCAGCGCCCTGTGGTGATCCGAATGGACAGCGCCGGGGGAGAGAGTCTGGCGACTCGGTCAACGAACTTCTCGCGTGTGTGACACCTGCACATCGATACCATTGGTTGCGGGAGGCGATCCGGGGTAAGCAGTTGAAGATTATTCATATTCCGGGTGCAGACAACCCAGCGGACATTTTTACGAAAGCTCTCTCACTACCTACTTTACTTAAGCACTTATTGTACATGCGCGTCGCGGTCCCGGGGGAGTGTTGAGGTGGGACCGTGACGCGGGCGCTTCGTGACGATGCGGACATGTGACTGACGAATCGACTGTAACGGACGCGTGTAGAGTACAGCTACCTCAGTCGAGTACCACGAGGACGAGACTGAGGTAAGCTCGTCTGAACTGTATTTCTGGGCTACGAGGCTGATACTGTATTGCTAGACCCTTGTAACTTTAACAGGTACTGTAGTAATGGAGTCGAGTACCACGAGGACGAGACTGAGACCCTTGTAACTTTAACAGGTTCCCCTATTGATTTTTGATGTGGCGAGGACAAAGTCCATGACTCCCCAGTGGCTGCTGAGTTCCCACGCCTGTCTGCAGTCTCAAATGTTCTGTGGGGTGTACTGTACGTTCAAAACACTAATGCTACTGCCCAAAAATTGTTTCCTGTGTATTGAAATGATTCCCCATTCATTCCATGGCTTACAGTGGGCTCCCCCATGTAATTCCTGGCTCAGCCAGGCGAGGTTCGGCCCAAGTGGCTGGCTTTCCCACGCCCAGTCCCAGTGCATTCCCCTGTCCTGAGCTCACCATGTGTTCAAACTACACAAACCATCAGGAATACACTGTGTCTGCATGCCCACATGCATTCCCAATGGTTCCATGGCTTACAGTGGGCTCCCCCATATCGTGGGCAGAGACGGAACGAAGAGCAATCGAATTTTAGGGAAAGGGTAATAGGAAATGAATTGAAAGCGAAGCGCGCTTGGCAGAGACGAAGCGAAGAGCAATCGAACTTGAGGGAAAGGTCAATAGAAATCGAATCGAAGTGTAACAAACCGAGTAAAAGTCAATTACTATATCAATACTATATTAATCAAACCGCAATATCTTCACAGCACGACTCAATATATATATAGCTTTTGGCGACTGGCTCAGGGTTGGGGCCGGTATCTGTTCGCAGTTGAGCGCTACCCAATGTCAGCGCCCTCCGCAACGTGCAGACTGTGCCCGGTGTCGTGTCCGGCGGCGGGCCAAAGGACATAGCCCTACGTCGTGTCCAGCGAGAACTCGCAGATCAACGCGTCGCGCGCTCAGAAGTGAGCCGCGATGTGTAATATAATAACTTGATGTCGGTTGACACGCTCAACGCGGCCGACGACGCACTCGACATTGATGGTGTCGTGCGGGACGAGCCCGCGTAGATGGTGAGTGGTCCGAGCGCTAGCGCCCAGCGCGTTGCTCTCGGCCACACCCACTCAACTGCGACTGCGACTCGGGCAGCCCCCATGACCGCCGGAGCGCACCGCAAGCCGCTTGCACACAGGCGAGCTCGAACTGGCTCCCGGCTAGCTGAACCACTACTGCCAGTTCACTGTTAAGCTAGGAAGGGGAATGGCACGGGGCGAGCAGGGTAAGCGAGCGGGAGGGCTCGAAATCGAAGGTACGTCCTCACCGGATGTATCCACCCGGTCGCCGCCGCCTCTCTCTGCAGTGCTCGTGCGAGTACGCGTCCCGACGAACATGGAGTTCGTCCGACGTGCATATGGCTGGCTATGAAGGCAGCATTGAACCGCGCCGCTTCCGCTAGGCAGTGTGAGTTGTCGGTACGTATGCGACGCGTCGGGGTGGGGAAGACGGGGAAGTTGCAATAGCTGGGGTCGTCAAGATCGCCCTGGTGGTCGACGTACGCGCGTGTCTGGGCGTGAACGTGGGTGTTGAGCGTCGAGGGGGAGCGTGGCACGGTACGTAGGGTCACCCAGCCCAAGGCGCGGGTTCGCGTGGAGGAGTCGGAGACGAGGAACCACTCACGTAGGCGGGGTCGAGGAGGCACGAAATGTCCACGGCACGCGAATTCTGGGATTACATTGAGTGGCGGTGGAGATAGTGCGGGAGATGGGGGTGCGGCGAGTGCGGGAGGAAGGTCGCGATGTACTGTAGAGATGGTGCGCGCGGTCGTGGTGGTGACGGACACAAGACTCACCTCCGCGACGGTCGTTGCCATACTCCTCCCGCGCAAACACCCGCTCCCAGGCTAGCATCTTCACTGAGCATAGCACCATGATGATTAGCATGGTCAACGTTGAGGCGAAAATACTTACCGTCTTAGCTGAAACTCGTGCTCGTACCATGGCGAACTACTGCGTCCGAGTCAGTTGAGCTGATAACACAATCGGAGAATGGGAACATCACCTCCAGATGCACTTCGTCCAGGCTATGCGGCCTTCGTGCCCGAGACCGCGCCCGGCTTGGGGTGCTTGAAGAGGTGGTTTGCGTCGACCATGATGACGCTGCGCTTGTGCACGTAACTGTTGCCGAGGTGGTTGTAGGATGCAATGGGGAGTGGCCTGAAGACACTCGGCGAAGACGGGCTTGAACTTTGTCGGGCCTGACTGGAGGTCGCCGCCGCCGATGAATGCTTTGCGGCGCTCTGCGAGTTCGATGACGCCCGGGACGAACGTGTTCTGGGGCGCGCCGTTCGCAAAGGGCTCGCCCGTGATTATGAACGCGACGGCAAACAGCGTCGAGGGCGAGACCTCAGAGTGCAACGCATTGAGGGCCACGAGGAGCGCGTCGGCGGAGTCGTTCACACCGGGGACGATGTCGCTGCAGCGCTCCGTATTTGCGGTCCAACTGGCTACAACAGTACACGGAACAAACAGACTGCGGGCGGCCAGCCGGCGAAACGAAGCGGCAAGCGTCGAGCGCGCCAACGACGACCGACACGAGACGGTGGAGGAGGCAAAGAAATTTGACGGTGGGCGGAAGCGCCGCTCGCTCGGCTGGACGCTCGTTCCAGGCTCGGCCAAAATTAACACCACGAATAGGTTCGGAGCAAGCCCTGCAAGACATCCGCGGGAAATGACGCGTGACGGATTGCGTGGATGGTGACTGCAGAAACCTATTCTCTCCCGAGAAACTACGTTTTCACTGTCGCCACAATCGCAACAATCATGTGATCGAAGAGCGTGAACGTCGGAACCGAACCGGAACAAAAGGAGCCTAGACATAGAGCGCGCGCAACGAAGTGAAATGTCAGTAGCGCGCGAAACGAATCGACTATACCCGGAGAGCGCGCGCGAAACGAAGTGAAATTCATGAGAGGACGAATCGAATCGGATGAACCCATCTCAGAGGTTCGACCGCAGAACATCAAGACCCCGAATACCAAGACGCGGGCGCTCCCTTGCAAGCGTCAAGTCACACGTGACTTGACACAGTCAAGGAACGTGGATGTTTGGGGAGAAGTATGCAGAATGTTATCGTTTATGAGGATGTTGTCGCGCAGGAACGTGAGCTACGAACAGAGATAAACAAGGAACTACGCTGGACAAAGGAAAGTGCTTACGTTACGCTTCATGTTGATGTACACCCCTCCGACTACAATCGTGCGGGCGATCATCGTAGAAGTTGTTAGGTTAGCACAACTGCTTGACAGTCATCGACGCACCGATTGCGGCCAGATGAATGACGTGGGTCGGCTTATGCTTCTCGAACAATGCCTTCGTCTGTACTGGGTCTCTATGCGCAAATCGTCCCTTCAATCATTCGGGCGAGAACGGATCCGACATACCTTAGGTCCGCGTCCTTCGAACTCACGAACACCCAATGCTCCCCTGTTCGTTTACCAAATCGCGAGCCCTCGGGCTCTGTGGCGAGAACGTGTTGTAGCGCCTTGCCCACTAGGCCCGTACCTCCAGTAACCAGAATGACTGACATATCTGCCATGTACGAGGCGAGGCAGGATTGAAGTGGTGATTATTACGGAGCTGAGATTGAGCTAGCAAGCTGCGCCGCAGTCCCCATCCCTATGTAGCGCCGCCTCGCACTTCCAAGAGCGAGCGTCTGCCTATCAGAAATGTACGATGTGTGAGAAAGGTCGTGCTTACCTGCGTCTATGGTCACGATGAACACTGACAGGGCTTATAGAAATAGAGGCTCCCGAGATGTTCAAAGTAGCGGCCACAAGTTGGTCTGGGTGCTGCCAATCGTCCGAGCAGGAGCCCAAGATCCGCTGTAATTCGGAGGGATTTTAGCACATCTGTAACGGCGGATATATCTGCTACTTTCAGTGCTAGCACACAGCCAGCTCGCACCGCACTGGTTCCGAGAGTTGCCATTGCCAAAGAGAATGTGAAGATAGAGCGAGACGCCAGCCTAAGAATGCCGCCGCTTGAAGCGCCGAAGCTGTTCGCGTCAAGTTCAAATTGGTTACTTATGTAAATAATGCCTTGTAACAACGCGTACTGAAGAAAGTCATTGTACGTCACTTACATACTCTAATGAGGTATAAGAAACTCAACCTTCCCTCCCTCCCCTCTCGAGTCCTCGAGCTCGAGCAAGCTTCACACTCAGGATGCCTCAATCAGTCATTCTGGTCACTGGCGGAACAGGCCTTGTTGGCAGCGCCATCAGGCACATCATAGAGACCGAGCCTGCAGGCTCGCGATTTGGCAAGAAGCCCGGCGAGGAATGGGTGTTCGTGAGCTCGAGCGAGGGTGACCTAAGGTGTGTATGAGAGACCCTATAGATGCCATTGCTTACACTGAGAGTGCGGCAGGGATCCGGAGCAGACAAAGAAGTTGTTCGAGAAGTACAAGCCTACGCATGTCATCCATCTTGCGGCGCTGGGTGGGTATTCAGTCTGAGGAGAGAATGCGCGCTGACTAACGATGGGCATGCAGTTGGAGGGTTGTTCAAGAACATGAAGTATAAAGTGCGCTGCTCTTGTTGCTTCCGTTTCAACTACCCTGACATCTAGCTACCCCTGTTAGCTCACCTTCCTTCGCGATAACATCCTCATCAACGACAACGTCCTCCATACATCTCACACCACCGGCGTGACGAAGGTCATATCCTGCCTCTCGACATGTGTATTCCCAGACAAGGTCGCCTACCCCCTCGATGAGACCAAGATCCATCTCGGCCTCCCTCACGAGAGCAACTTCGGCTATGCTCACGCGAAGCGTATGGTGGATGTGCAGAACCAGTGTGTACTTAGCGCTAGGATACTTCCCTTGACGTGGTCTGACTAGGTTTCCGGAACAGCGCGTACAAGGACCAGTTCGGAGACAACTTCACGAGCGCGATCCCCACGAACGTCTTCGGGCCGGACGATAATTTGTCCGTACCACCTCGATCATAGTCTGGCTGATTCACTCACCACAGCTACCCTCAGTGACTTGGAAGGCTCGCACGTCATTCCTGGGCTGATCCACAAGTGCTACCTCGCGAAGAGTACGCATTGCTGTCGCTGTCTGCTGGGATGAGCTCACAAGTGCCTTCAGAAAACGGCACACCGTTCGTCGTGATGGGTACGGGAAAGCCCCTGCGGCAGTTCATCTATTCGTACGACCTCGCGAAGCTGTTCATATGGCAGCTCCGGGAGTACGATGACGTCGAGCCCGTTATCCTCTCCGGTGAGCAGCGTTGACTGTTACCTTGCGATACTTCACTTACTCTGCACGCTCTCCAGTCGGCGAGGATGAGGAAGTGTCGATCAAACAGGTCGCGGACGCAATCGTGAAGGCGATAGACTTCCAGGGCGAGTACACGTTCGACGCGACCAAGGCAGACGGGCAGTTCCGCAAGCCGGCGTCGAACAAGAGGCTTCTCAGTCTGATGGGTGGCTTCGAATTCACGCCATTTGAAAAGGGTGCGGCATGTCCATCTCACTTGTCATTGATGTAGAAGTTGACCTCCATCACGATGTAGCATTGGACGACACCGTCAAGTGGTTCCTCACGAATTACGATAACGCAAGGACGGGTCTGAATGACCGACCGACCGGGCACTGATGCGAGTGTTAGACGTGCAGAGTTAAGGCGGACTTGTGCTTGAATGAACATACCCATGTAACAGTTGATGTATTGCTGCATCGCTATTCACCATAGCCCTGCTAGCTGACAGGGGAGACAGCTGCGAACAACGGACCGCCTGCTGCGCGGAACTCGTGCTGTCCGAGTTCTACCTTTCGCTGGCAATGTGCTCTACTATCTCCGATGGGTCTTCGTGGTGTTCTCTTCGCGAGCAGAGCTGTGTCAAGGCAAATGTCGACGACCGATGTAAGTCCCCAACGCTGGGAAGCCTTCAAGCTCCAAATATTGCTTCATTTTGCAATGGTGTTCTTCCTTTACTCGATTGCAACTCCGTGATAGACTGACCGGCTCCGACGTTGACATCTCACAGAACCTTGCAGTGTAGGCAAGTATGAGCTCGAGCGTTCTATGGCCATGACTCATCGTATAACGATGTGCTGACTTCTCGTCATGTCCCGAGCTGCGATACAGGTCATTGGCATCCATTCAAAATGATGATGCGAGGTGTTAGGGTCGACCAGAACCGGCGGCCACGGATAAATTGCGTAGCAATCCACGACATATCAAGCTCCAGTCCAGAGGAGCCTACCGGAACAACGAGGGTACGTCACTGAAGTATAGCAGACAACTGACCGGCTTCAAGTTGACAGGCGTGAGTCCCTGAACCAGCGCCCTTGTATGTATGGGTACATAGCACAGCCGTGCGTTCTGGCTGGTGTAATCACTCATCACCCTGCTCGCCATGACTTCGACCTCGATCCAGTTGTTCGTCGAGAATCCGACATGCCACGTCGGAGAGACGGTTCGAGGCACTGTGACGTTGGATATCCCGACCCTGCAAGCTGAGAATGTAAACGAAGTAGTGCTTCGCATGACGGGCCTGCTCACGATGTGAGTGCCACATCTCTGTTACCTTTATCTGTGTTCATTAACATCCATCTTAGCGGCTACACCGTAGGAGTCAACCCCCGGGTCCCCCGTATAGGGCGCATCTTCTACGTCAACAAGACACAAGAAGTATGGAAACGAGAAACAGAAGATGACTCTGCGTGCTCTGGCGTTTTCACGATGGATTTCAATTGGAGAATGTCGGATCGTGCGCCGCAGTCCGTTGAGACGAGCGAGAAGAATCCCGTCTGCTACGTCAGTATGGTATACCGCATCGAAGCTGTGGGCGTCCGCCATGGATTGCTGCGGCGGAACAAACGTATCCGTCGCACGATTACTGTACTACCTCCAAACCCGATCGGTCAAATGGAACCGGATGCGCTCGAGCGACTTCGCCGAGGATGGGAAGGACCCTGGAGACAGATGGGAGTGAGCAAACACATCCGCAGGTTCTGGCTGTTGGGTGATAATGCATACGTGGAAATACTGGTGCGTCGCATGTGCACTAGGACTTCCGTGTCGTTGTTTCGGTGTCATCTGATTCTCAGTGCCCGGCGCTCCAGTTGGCCTGCCCCGAAAGAGTCTTGCCCATCGCGATTAATACCGACATACCGTTCAAGTTGATCGTCATTACTAAGAGCCAACCAGGGCCTTACAAGCCAGAGGAAGAGTCGTGGCCTCATCGCCCTGCAAAGCAGAGCGACATCCATTTCGCTAGGCATCAGATCGTCGACATAACCGTGCAGAACAGTCAGATCAGAGGGACTATCAAGCAGAGAGGTGGTACTCTGGCAAAACTGAAAATAGGAGACGTGGACTGGGAAAGACAGGCAAAGAAGTGGGAGGCGTATGAAGGCGGCGAAGGCAGATGGATTTCCACAACTGTCCTGAAGTCAAGCTTTCGGCAGGAGAGTCCTGATGCACATATCAGCCTGCAGCACACGGGTGGTCGGGCGGATATTGACGTTCAGGTACGCGGACACGACTGGCAGTTACGTTGGACACAAGTCTCACTGTTTGTACCAGCACAACCTACACGTCAGAGTCCGCCTCGGTGTGATGCGTTGGCTGCGTGTAAACGTGCATTTGGCGTAAACATCTTCGTGTAGCCCCGGAGCTATTGACTAATAGCCACAGTACCACGGTATCAGTTGGGCCAGACTACTTACTGTCTCCGAAGTTCGCGAACGCCTAGTCCTTCTGTGCTTCTCGAATTCTTCGTCCGTACTAACCTTCGCTTCTTACTCTATCGATGCGCCGTCCTGGACACTGGTGCGCGGAGACTGGGATATAATGACAGTACTTGTAGTGCTGTCCCACGAAGATAATACAAAGATGTGGTCACTACAGTGTGCATTCAACAAAGCCTCATTCACATTATATTCTCGTAGCCGTACAATGCGCAAGGATAGCACCGCCGTCGTTAGTGAAAATCGAGAAATATTGAACGAGCGTCGAGCGAGTCACGTGCCTATTTCCTGGAGAGCTCGTCGCCGTCGGACACAGCGAGCACATCGTCTACTCTCACCACCACCACCACCCACACCAACGAGCTCCCAATCTCCTCCTCGCCTCCTGTCCTGTTCGCCTCCTTTTCGCCTCCGCCATATCCTCATCTAGCCCTCGCCCCTGCTCCTGAGCGTCCCTGAGCCCGGGATCAAGATATCCTCCGACTCTTCTTCCGCGTCTACTTCGCGCGCGGTTAGCAAAATCCGCAATATATACATATACACATCTGACAGCTTGCAGTCCAACCAGCCTTCTTCTCTCCCCGTCATGTCGACCTCTCAGATTGCAGACGTTCCGACACCGTTCTCGCCGCTCTTGAAGCTGAACTTGCCTTCGCCTGCGGAGTATAGAAAGCGCAAGGTTGCGCTCATCTCTGGTGCGCACAATGTCTCTGCAGATGAGTCGAGTTACGTGCTCATGTCTCTTCCCGCCGTCAGGTATCACTGGACAGGATGGGTCGTATCTGTGAGTGTTCCTCTGTCTTCTCTCCCCCAGGAGGCTCGTGTGACATGCACCTCGTACGACAAACGCTTCTACATACCGCGCATCTGCCTCTCAGGCGACGGGGTCCTGTCCGGCAGTCGTCGACTAGCGGGCATGCGCAGGGCACGATCTGTGGAGCACTTGCGAGCTCATCACGGCTATCTCGGTTATCCTCAGACTCGCGGCGTGCACACACCCTGACTTCCGCGCAACTTCCGCGTCGCTCCGAGATGACTGGAAGTGCGTCGTCGCCTTCGAGCGCGGTCGTTTGTTGGCACCGTTCCGGTTAGCACATCTGTGCCTGCATTATCATGGGCGCCCAGACGCTAGATTAGCGCACCGATCGAGGATGCAGCCCGTGTACTCGATCGAAGTCATCTAACTTGGCGCAAAAGACAGTAATCCCTGTTGGCGAATTGCACGGGGAGCGCATTCGACTATTGTTCTCATCTTCCTTAAACTGTTGTCTCACTCTGCAATGCTTTCAGGACGGAGTTGCTACTCTCAAAGGGATACGAGGTACACGGCATCATCCGGCGATCGTCGAGCTTCAACACGAGTCGGCTGCACCACTTATACGAAGACCAGCACGAGCGGCCGAACAAGTTCAAACTGCACTACGGCGACCTCAGCGACAGCACGAACCTCGTGTACATCATTGCGCAGGTGCAGCCGACAGAGGTGTACAATCTCGGCGCGCAGTCGCACGTCAAGGTCTCGTTCGAGATGGCGGAGTATACGGGCGACGTGGATGGGCTGGGCACGCTGCGGCTGCTGGACGCGATCCGGACGTGCGGACTCGAGCGCCACGTGCGCTTCTACCAGGCGTCGACGTCCGAGCTTTACGGCAAGGTCGTCGAAACGCCGCAGAGCGAGACGACGCCGTTCTACCCGCGCAGCCCGTACGGCGTCGCGAAGCTGTACGCGTTCTGGATCACGAAGAACTACCGCGAGGCGTACGGCATGTACGCGTGCAACGGCATCCTCTTCAACCACGAGAGCCCCCGCCGTGGCAGGACGTTCGTCACCCGCAAAATCTCGCGTGCCGCGGCGGACATCTCGCTCGGCAAGCAGTCGTGTCTCTACCTCGGTAACATCGACGCCCAGCGTGACTGGGGCCATGGTGAGATCTGTGCTCTCTATCGCCCTGTGCTGACGCTCACTGCGGACATCGGATAGCCGCCGACTATGTTGAGGGCATGTGGCGCATGCTCCAGCAAGACACGCCCGACGACTTCGTCCTCGCCACGGGCGAGATGCACCCTGTGCGCGAATTCGTCGAGAAGGCTTTCGGAATACTCGGCATGAACATCCAGTGAGTCTTCGCTACCGTCTTCGCTATTCGGTTGCCTCGCTCACGCACTCTCCTATAGATGGCGTGGCTCCGGAACCGAAGAGGAGGGTGTGGACACGAAGACGGGCAAGGTCGTCGTTAAGGTGGACTCGCGGTACTTCCGTCCCGCTGAAGTCGAGTATGTATCTTTTCCCCCGCGTGTGGAACTGCCAGTTTAACCCTTTTCGCACCGTCTCCAGGCTCTTGCTCGGCAATCCCGCGAAAGCCGAGAAGCTTCTCGGGTGGAGGCGCAAGGTTAACTTCGACTCGCTTGTGAAGGAGATGGTCGAGGCTGACCTGAAGGCGGCGGGTTCGCTCGTGGAGGACCAGAACTAAGCTTGGCGCACCTGCGGTGTGAGACAGCGTCGTCATCTAGCCGTGACATTGATTCCTGAATACAAACACTAATGCAGCGCGCGTCGTATACCATATAGACTGCAAACTGTACCCATGTATATCAACTGATTATCGCCTCTAGTTTGTTCAGTCGCGACCGGATTGCGCGGCCCTAGTCAAGCTGTCCATCGATGCACTCGCTTGTGCCAGGGCCGCATCCCATAGCATTTGTAGCATGGGCGATGCTACTGGTGTCCGCTAGTCGAGTGCGCGGATAGCTGTCTCATGCATTCCAAATCGATGCGTACGATCCAGCTGACTCGAGTGCGAGCCTCACCGGAGCTGCGACTCGGACACGTTCAGTGATGGAACGTTTGGGTGTGCGAAACCAGAACTGGCTGTGCAAGGTAGGATTGCAGACGTTAACGACGATAGGCTTTGTGCGAGGTCTTATAAATGTCACTGGCGTCCCCGTATACGAAGCTAGATGGACGGTGGCACACTGGCAACCTCACTCTTGGCCGGTCTAAGTGCAACTTGGGTGTCGTTGTGCCCATGTCAGGATTTACAGTATGATTGACAGATCTTCAGCTGTGTGCTCGCTGCCGTACGGCGCGGTCAGCCTCGTATGTTTCCCTCACCTGAGACGACTTGGGCGTAAAACATAAATTTCTCATCTTGGGAAACACTCGCACCTTGAACCAGAACTCCGCATCATCTAACAGGCGTACTGCAGTCGCAGCTAAGGCCTTCGCGACATTAACGGTCGCTTTGTGCGCCGCATCGCTCGCGGCCGATTCTGCGAATGCTATGGTGTGGTTGCCTCCGTTCTCGACAGTTGGGATGGCTGATGAGATTTATGAAGCGCGACTGATCTACGAGGATGAGCTGCATCGCTTACCGAATGATGGGTGCAATGCGGGCAAAGCTTTTGGGTTTCTGTTTGAACGATGGACCGTCGATCATGACGAAGACGTACCATAGGTGACATTGCCCTGCATCAGAGACGCGTCGTCAGCACCACGCCGATGTTACCTGTTACTTACACTACTCACAAAGTCCGTCGATGCGCTTTGTATGCCATATCCATACGTAACTGAGCCATATCTGCTCCGGAAGACATCCGCAAAGTCGTCTCCTGTCACGAAGTGGTGATGAGATGAGCTCGGGCCCTTAGCGTATCTGATTCGAGATCCTCGCACCTAGCGCTTTATTTTGCCGCAGATCATACGTCGCCCCCGCAATCTTGACGTTTTCCTTACAAGCGGTCGCGATTGCAGCCCCCCTAGTCACAATTTTCACATCCGATTCAGACGAGCGAGAAGAGACCTACTTGAAGCAGGGTATAACACGCTGCGTAGACGCTTCCATCTCTGCTCTCGTAGGCGCGCGAACGTACCATCTGAACAAAGGTTCGGTCAGGCTCCGAGTCAGTCGTTCGTTGTAGCTGCCTTACACCATCTTCGCGTAGTCAGGGATGACTGCATGAAACGCTGTCAGTGACCCAGCATTTATCATACGAGTCTGGATGCATACTGTTGGGCGTCCAGTCTTTTCCGATGAAGATGCCATGCACACGATGGGTAGGTAATAGCTGTTGCCGCAGCATGGAGATACTGTTATACGCCGACACGGCTGCATCCACGGCATTCTGTCCTTCCCAAGGAGAGAGCGCTGCATGCGCCCTGTGAACGCAGCATTCAGCGAGTAGATGAATACAATGCACCCGAGGACTGACGTGTGCCCGTGAAACTCGACTTCCAGAATTTGACGCGCGAGACAGCTGCTCAGTGCAGCTGAGTGTTTCGGGCCAGGAGCGGGGTGACACCTGTGCAACTACGTCAGGCCGCAGCATCTAGAAGGAGATTATCACTGACATGACGCAGGCGTCCATCCCTTCGTATGCACCTTTCTCGAGGAGTACTCCCTTGCCTGCTCCGCCTTCCTCGGCTGGAAAGCAAATCGGCCTCGTAAGTAAGTGCATTCCGATGCTGTGGATCCGTGTCCCGAACTCACCTGGAGTGCCCAGCAAGACGACTGTCCCAGGGATGTCGAACTTCTCAAGGGCAGCTCCGATTGCTAGAGCTACGGCGACCCCAGCGATAGCGATGAGATTGTGTCCACATGCGTGACCCACACCAGGGAGAGCGTCCATCTCGGAGTTGACGCCAACGGTACGGCCGCCTGTCCCATGCGTGAATTTTGCCTCCCAAGCCGTAGGCAGCAGATGATGTTCAGTTACTTCCCACTTCTTCCGCTGCATGAAGTCCACCAGAATGTCGTGAGCATGGCTGCGGCCGCTTTAGTAATCGTCTTCGCCCAATGTGAAATGGAGAAAACACTCACTGTTCCTCCCACCGGACTTCAGGATGATCTTCAAAATGTATGAGTCGATTATGAAGCCGGATGATTCAAGCGAGGCTCACCGTGAATGTCTAGGCTGAGCGCGCGTAGCTCATCGTTCAGAGATGCAATAGTCTGCTCTATGGCGTCAAGGATCTCGGGCCTGTATGTAGTTTCCCCGGTGCCCTGGGGGTCAGTTAAAAGATCGTCTCTATGCCATAATGCTGCAGGGTCGGTAGTGTCCTGTCCGCACATCGCGAGCAAATGGCAGGGACAATTCAAGGTGTGTCTCGTGCGACGCGGCGTAGACTGTAAAGCCACATGTGTGTAACACGGCTTGACTCGATGCCGTGAGTTCAACAAGATAAGACACGCCGAAGGAGTTCTGACTCTAGAAAGGCAAGCAAGCCGTCCCACGATCGATCAGGCCATGGCCAAATGGACTGGATTGTTCCCGCAGCTTGAGTTGAGTATGCATCCTTGTCACTTCGGCTGCGCATAGGATGCTTAGGTCACCGATAGACAGAGAGCTACTTGCTTCGATAATAGGTGCGGTGCGTTTCCGACTCAACTTGTGTTATGTGCGCGGAGTACTTCCCACATAGGTAAGTTGTGCGCAAGTACGATCGTAGCCGGCACCTCGGTTCTGACCTCGGCTTCCGTGTGCCCTGACAGGACAAGCGAGTACACAGTTCTTGGAGTCACAACACTCCAGACAGCAGAGACATCATGGAGCAGACCTCAGCCAAAATCGACAGTACCGCACATCAGCCTTACTTATCGTCAACAAGACGACCAAACCAAGAATTAGCTTGTGACACACCTCCGTGTATCCGAGAAGCTCCTGCATGTCCATCTTGAGGTTGTGGATCGCCTTCGAGGCTTTTCTCCTGAGGTCTTCGTTGCGATCCTTGCGTATGAGACTGCCTGCGCCGGTGCTTGGCCTGCGTCTGCTATTGAATGCGTTCGACGATTGGAATTTGACCTTGTAACGCTCGATGAGCACGTCGACGCAGCCGTCGATGAGCGCGCAGACTGTAAGCAGAGAAGTAGGGAAGCGGAGGATGCCTGGCTCTGATGAAGCGGCTTATATCAGCACCGGGGCGCGGATACGTCGCGCAATGCGACCAGGCCAAGGTAGTTGACGTACGCATGAACGCTTCTAACAAGATGGCCCACGTCTCCTCTTGCGCCGTCTCCCACCCCTTGTCGAAAGCGAGTAAGGTCCGTAAGCTCGGCAACGCGAGCCAGAGGTCCTGCAGATACTGTCCCGGCGTGACACAGCCTACCGAGTGAGACAGTGCACCCAGGATATCACACTGCGCGACCTAAAACATCGGAGTAGTGAGCTTCGCCTGTCATGAAGTTGACCATTGTGTGGCTCAGTCAACAGAGCTCACCTCGAGGTCATCGTAGGACATTGAATGAGGAGCCAGCATGCCAAACTCGCGCGCTGGGATCAGGTAATGCGGCGGGAAGACATCGCGGTGGAACTACAATATGACATTCAGCACCGGCGATCCTCAGGTCGAAAGCTCCACTTACCTTGACGCTCAATACGACACACGCGACGGCACAATCCCAGATGATAGGCTCGCGTCCGTCATGGAGAAGCAACACTTCCTCAGTCAACGAGTACAAGCCCGGTCCGGAGACACTCCTGGGCGATGCAGAGCGTGAAGCCCCGGCTCCCAAGTTGTGAAAGTAGCGGGTGAACAGCTGGGCAGCGTGCCAGCGCGTCTCCGAAGAGTCTTGAAGTTGCCCGTAGAGATCGCTGCGGACGCGCGTCGGCTGGTTACTGATATCTGGGAGGACCTACCGTATTCGTGAGCGGCAGCAAGCAGGACGGTGGCAGAGACTGACTTCGAGGATCCAGTCTACGCATTCCACACGTACGTCCTCGTCGATACCGAGAACGATCTCGTCTGCTTGGGCGAACCTGCTTTTGACCGAAACATCCTCCGAGATGTCGCTAACAGAGCCGTCGCGCTGCTTTGAGAGTATCGTGCGTTCAGGTTCTTCGCTGCTATCTGGTAGCTCTGCGTTCCTCCCTCGTTCGGTGTCAGCAGTGTCATCAACAGTCGCCTCACCCTCTCGGCCTCGCGACGGACCCTTGCAGACGTTCTCTTTCATACACAAGAGCCTGTCTGCTCTACGCTCTACGTTTTCTCTTTCCATCAGGACCCGGATCCGGCGCTCGGCGGCCTCCTCCTCGTTAAACGGAGCGCGTGGGATCTCCTCAAACGGAGGAGGCGCTACGATCGGCAGCGGTACAGGAAGAGGCGACCTGGGAGGTGTTGCGATGGGACACGGCAACCCGCGTCGGCGAGGAGCCCGAACAGGTGTAGTGGGCTCCGTCGGGACATACGAATAGGGAGTACAAGAGGTCCAGCTGCAAGTTTCGTCGTCTTCATCTTCCTTGATGGGAGTAAGGGGCTGGCGGCAGTCTGGACCCTCGCCCGTATCGGGCCTCGGAGTCTGTGAAGCTCGCCGGTGAGATTAACATGCGGAGGATGTAGGAATTTGCGCACACTGAGGTCGGTCGAATCGCGCGCGCACGACGCTTCTTCGCTCCGCAAGGAGTCCGCGCGTCGCAGACTAGCGGCACGGTGCGCATACATGCGGCGTTTCGGCAAGAATCTGTCGGCTCCTCCTTGGACGTCGCCGCGCTGCTTGGACGCAGAAACTGCCGACGACTTGCGAGAGAAAAACCTTGAGCGAGTCAAGAGTTCAGGAGGATCGTCATGCGGGCTTTCGTACTTGCCACGCTTTCTTTGCGGTCCGGATACTAGTAGGGGCTCCGGATCTGCAGAGCGTAGATCATCTGGGCAGGAGGCATCGCACTCCACCGTCTCTGAAGGGCAAGGAGGGTCGAGGGGACGCTTTCCTAGCTTCGGAGAGATAGAGCTTGACCACTTTGCGGAAAGCACAGAGGACTGCATATATGCGCTCTTGACTCCCTCAGTCTCGGCTGCAGGCTCTTCAGAGCGACTGTATGCACTTGGAAAAGAGATGTTGGTATCGGAAGTCTGCGAAGAGCCAGAGACAAAGCCCAGTGCAGCAGAATCAGAGTCCGAGAAGTAGGACCAGTAATCAGGAGAGCAGACATCTTGTTGGACGTTGTTGCCTGTTACAGAGTGAAGTATACCAAGCACGTTGGAGCCCACACGGACGAGAGGTTGGCGTGCGTCGGCTTGGTCTTCGTGACAAGCAGACGCCTGAGAGTGCAGAGAGCAGGTGATGCTGCCCGCACCGCCGGCCGAGCCGAATTGTTCGGTGAAGTTGGTATGCGCTATGTCGACGGAAGGGGGTGTCATGTTCTCGCCATCGTAGCTGCCGTTTGCTCCCTGAGTAGCTCCATCGGGGTTGGCGTTATAATTTGACACCGCAGATGCAGCTCTTCGCAGTGAGCGCTCTCGCGCAACAGTGAGCAACAGTTCGTGAAGACGGTTTGCAAAGCTTGTATGAGTCGATGTAGGGCTGGACAAGTGATCTGGCGGTTGGCTTTCCGTATCCTGTGGTGTCTCGTGCTCGGTAATCGAGGAACCTACATCTGAGATTCTTTGATCCATCCAGTTCCATGGAATCGGATTCAGGCAAGGCTATATGCGCTGCTGTGTTGTGGAACGAAGGAACGAAGACTGCGCGAGACGTCGAAGGGACATTGAACCGGTGTGAGTCTGCCCTGGCTCCGCAAGCATTGTGTTCAGGCGGGGTTGCCACAAGAGGCGAGGAAAACATTGGCGAGCTAGACGCAGGACCGACTTCAAAATCTTCCGAGACGAGAAGTGCAGAGTCGTCGACGCTAGCACTGTCAGAGTCAGAGTCGTCCGGAGCAGTGAGCGAAGAGCGCATTGCATCGGCAGAGGAATCAGTCGTGAGTTCCATACTGGGTAACAGCCTGAGGAGAACCAGTTGAACGTGGATAGCTGAGTGACGGAGGAGGAGGAGGAGGAAGAGGAGGAGAGTCTGAGGCGCGTCGCGCTTGGTCGCGCCCACGTGCCATTCACGGGATCTCAAGATTTAAACAATTTATAAGTCTACCTAAGTAGCTGTTTTTTCGATAACTTTTCCACCCTCAGAGTCACTGTACTGCCATCTGTCAAGGCTTCTATACTTACGTTCCCCCCCAGAAGACCGCCCTCACCCCTAGGGGAGACTTCGTTTCTTCCGATCGAACCGGCAATGACAGTTATTTATTCAAAGGTCGGTCAATCTGAAACCGACTCATGCTCCGAGTCAGTACTCAGTACTTACTCAGTGTCGATGCTTCATTTGATGCAGTCTGAACATTGGAACAGCCTCAGCGCTCAGCACTCGGTGATATCAGTGCTAGGGCCCAGACGTACCGTTACCCAGACGTACCAATGCCATTAAATGTGTAATGGCAACAGTCCGACTCCGACTCGGGCTCGGAGCAGTCAAGTACACAGTAAGGCGCTATGTACACCGTGGTCCTCCTAGTAACAAATCTGACACCTGTTCAGCTAGAATTCACCTCGTTCTCGTTTTCATGTGCACGACAGTACATCCTCTGGTGACAGTGTGTAGGAATCCTGTCCCGGGTGCCTACCAGCTCCTAAGTATCAGGCTACACAGCCTGCTGACCTTTTGAAGGCACTGTAACCCTCTTGGGCGTCGAGCGTGATCGGGGAACGGTTGGCCAAATCACCTCACACCACGTTGAACGAGCCCCGTCCAGCCCGAGTCGTGTGGGCCTGTCGCCGAACGACTTCGACTTTCGCGGCACCCGTCTACGCGTTCACTGACAATGCTGCATGTTTTTTGCTCGCCTTATCGACTTCTAATATCAAATCATTTGCGGTAACAGCCCGACCCCTTATTCGGTGTTCACTCGGCGAGTGGCTGTGCCCCTCTGGCCTGATCAACGAAACCGGTGAGATTCCCGCAGCGAGACTGTTCGACACAGTCGTAGTCCGTGGAGTCTCGCTTCGACCTGGACCTTGAATTGAATGGCTGCCGCACCCCTGACGCCAACCATTTCGTCGTATAAATGCGACCCACCCTAGCACCAAGAGGCCGCAAGTTTCTGCAGCGCATCGCTCACAATCTACAAGCAATATCCCTCCAACTCCATCTCGTATCTCTCCAGAGCCAAACATCGTGCAATGTCCACAGATACCGCATCTGCCACCGCCGAGAAGGCTACGGGCTTCGAGAATGCCCCTGAGCAGCTCACTCCCGTCGAATTGACCATCCGCGGCGACTTCCCGCCCTGGCTGAGCGGCATCCTTTACCGCACCGGCCCCGGCACCTACAGCATCCCCTCAGCCTCCGACCCGTCGAATGTGACGGAGATCCAGCACTGGTTCGACGGTATCGCCATGCACCACCGCTTCGAAATCCTCCCAGCCTCTGAGGGACAGTCTTCGCGCGTTCTGTATCGCTCACACAAGGGCGCGCCGGACCTCGAGCAGCGGATCGCGGAGGTGGGAGACTACCCCCGAAGCTGTTCTCCTTCGCGCAGCGCCAGCGCGACACGGATCCGTGCGCGAACTTCTTCGAGAAGGTTTCTACGTCCTTCGCGTCTTTAGACGACGCAGTGGCTGCGATGAGCAAGCGTGAGCGCACAAACAAGCTCTCGAACGTCGCCGTGACGATGACGCCGGACTTTCCGGGAATCCGTCTGCCTGGTCGCGAGAGGGACGACGACGAGAATCGCATGGGCCCGCGTGTCATTGTTTCGAAGACGGACGCGAACCTCCTTCAAGTACTCGACCCAACGACATTGGAGCCGCTGGACTTAGTGTCATACGCGCACATTGATCCACGTTTGAGCGGGCTATTCAGCGCGGCTCATGCATGCCGCGACCCCGAGACTGGTGAGTTAGCTCTGATGCGAAATTGCCTCATACAAATTCAATACTTATACAATGCGTATCCAGGGGACTTCTACAACTTTGTCTTGGATTTCGCGGTGAAGTCCACGTACAAGGTGTTCAAGATTCGCGGCGACAACGGCAAGGCCGACGTCCTGGCTACGATCAGCGAGAAGGATGCCCCCCCTGCCTACATTCACGCAATGACAATGACGAGCCGCTTCGTCATTGTCTGCATTTGGCAGTCGCACATCAAGAAGTAAGTGCTCCGTGTCTCTGGGCTGCTGCGAAACATCGCGCTGATGCACGACTGTTCCTTAGCTTTGGCCTGTCCATGCTGTCCACCAATAATGTCGCCGATTCCATTGAGAAGACGTGGCACCCGGAGAAATCATCGGTCTTCTACGTCGTCGACCGGCACAATGGCGGGGTGGTGGCAAAGTACAAGGTAGGCAACACTGCGTTCTGATTCGATGCATGCGAGAATGACACAGATGCACTTCAGACTGATCCCTTCTTCGCTTTCCACTATCTCAACGCGTATGACGATCCCGAGACCGGCGATGTTGTCATCGACCTCTCCGTCTACCCCAATACAGGCGTGCTTGATATGCTTTACCTTGACAAGATGAGGAACTTGAGCCCGAATAGCAAACCATGGATGGGCCGTGCGCAGAGGTTCCGCTTATTCGATCCCGCCAAGGTATTAGTGGACACCGTCTCCATCGTGGCACGAGGCTAATTGATTGCAGGTAGCGGAGAAAGGCAGCATCCCAGTGTTGGAAGCGAAGATCGACTTCACAGTTCCCCAGAGCGCCGGCGTCGAGCTCCCGACTCTCGCCCCGAGCAAGTACCATCGTGCGTATCAGTACGCGTACGGCATCACCAGGCGGCCCATTGGCAGCGGTTTCTCCGACGGTGTCATCAAGCTCAACATGCACGCGGTCGTGTCTGCCGCTGCGTCCGGTGATAGTCTGGAGGGCAAGGAGGACGAATACGCGAAGATATGGCGCCCCGTCGAGCACGCGCCCTCTGAACCGATCTTTGCACCACGCCCCGGAGGTACGTCAGAAGACGATGGTGTTCTGCTGTCCATTGTGCTCGACTCTACGCCTGAGAAGGGCACGGGCCAGAGTGCGCTTGTTGTGATCGACGCGAAGACTATGGAGGAAGTCGCGCGGGCGGAGATGTCAACCATCTATCCCTTTGGCTTCCACGGAGTCTACACGCCGGAGAGGAAGAATGCATTGTAGTGGTTTAGTTGCTCATTCTAGGGGGGCCTTGATTATGCATGTACACTACTATATTTATTGGCTATCTTGCTA